CTGATAATAATCATTCTATTATCATTACTAATTCTATTTCTCTATTAGGATTAGTTAATATAATTAGTTGTTAGAATGATAAACGAAATCTTATCAATAAATTAATGAAATAATAACTATTTTGGATTGATTAGAAATAAAAGAAAGTTTTTTTTTATAGTCAATAAATGATTTCCTCATATTCAATAGCTAATTCTCAAAGTTGGATACATTTGTCTGAAATGAATTTGTTGCATATGTTTATCAGCTGATATATGCGATTAGTTGCTACGGTAAAATTCGATTATATTTAGAATCAGATTCAGATTTGTGTAGTAAGGACAGAAGGCCTACGGCCTATGTTATTCCTTTTCTAGTATGCTTCTGTGAGTGTCCAGTCTTCTCTTGAAAGTGTCAATTGAAGGTGCGGACACCGCTGCTTCGGGCATCAGGTTCCAAGTATTGATGACTCGGTGTGAAAACCTGTATGCCACGGGTATTTTGTTCGTTCTTGGCTTTTCTACTCGCCTGCTATGTCCTCTGAGGTGTCCCGATCTAGTGGGAAGAAAGAGAGAGAATAAGTTAGGTCCGAAATCATTTCTCAGTATTCTGTACATCAATATTAGATCTCCCCTTAGTCTGCGATAGGACAGAGTAAAGAGGTTCAGTTTTTCAAGCCGCTCTTTATATGATAAACCCCGGAGTTCCGGAATTGCACGCGTAGCTGCCCTTTGTATCTTTTCTAGTATGTCTGAGTCACCTTTTAAACACGGGCTTGCAGCCTGAACGCAGTTCTCTAACTTAGTTCTCACTAAGGATGTGTATACTGTGGTGAACATGGTAGTATCAAGCTTAGTGGATGTCCGTTTTAAAGCCCAGAGGGTTCGAGACCCATTAGCTGAGACCTCCCGGCAATGGGCCGTCGTCTTAAGATCATTGCTCACTGTCACCCCTAGATCCTTATGAGACCGGACCACGGGTAATGGCACTTCTCCTATGTTGTACCTATTAACCTTGGAATCCCCAAAGTGCATGTAAACACACTTTACTGCGTTGATAGGCATCAGTCACTCTTTAGACCAGTTAACCAAATTATTTAAGTCTGCCTGAAGAGCACATGCGCCTGTCTCCAGTTATTACTGGCCAAATTTTTACATCGTCAGCGTATAATAATATTGGGGACTGTACGATACTTGGAAGATCATTAACACACATTATAAAAAGTAAAGGACCTAAGACGGAGTTTCGAGGTACCCCACTAAGTACTGGTCTCCAGAGGGAGCACTTGGAATTCATTCTTACTTTCTGTCTACGACCTAATAGGAAATCCCTAATCCACTTTAAAAGAGGTCCGGCAATACCAAGGTTTTCCAACTTCAATAGCAGTCTATTACTTGGCACCTTGTCAAAAGCCTTATTGAAGTCTATGTAGACAACATCCACTGAGTTTCCGTTGTCTAGCGCCTTTATTCAAAACTCCCTTGCTATAATCAGGTTCGTTGTACAGGATAGACCCTTTCCAAAACCATAATGTTCTGTGTTTAGCAATTTATTGGTTTCCATAAATGTCATTATGGTCCATTTTACTATTCTTTCCAATATTATAACTACAACACTGGTGGGGCTTACAGGTCTGTAGTTCAATAGAACTTGTCTCCGTCCTGTTTTATGTATGGAAGTGATGATTGCGTCCTTCCAGTCCATAGGTAGCACACCTTGGTCAAGTGACATATTGAATATCACAGTCAGTGAAGTCGCGATATATTGTGCAGTACGTCTCAAAATTTTGGAGTGTAGTTCAGCTGGTCCTGTTGTCTGGTTCTTTGTCTAGAGAAGGTTCCTGAGTGAAAACCGCCCCATAATAGTCATCCATAGCCTCCGCTTTTTCCTGATCTTCCTCTATCATTTCAGATTCACTCCCTTCTTTAATTAGGTTGGGAATCCAATGATAGCCTACTGAATTAGTAACTTCTTATTCGTACAGCAAAACATACAAAGACAATGCGAGTTAGACATCGAGCATCTTTTGTATGCCGTAGGACTCAGACGTGTACATATCTTATGTTACCACTTTTTACATTCATCGCACTGCATTGCTTCCTCAACGGGGAACAAGCAGTTTGGTTGTCCACATATATAAGTCTTACTAACCATTGTAATTTGATTGAAAGGGTTTAAAACACAATATGATCACAATGTGAACACGAGTGTCAGTCAATGAGTAAAAAAAAGGTACCACAGGACAAAGTTTAGCAAAAATTCCAAATTTTAACCAAAGTACTTTTAGTTAAAGTAGACCAAGAATGCTTTTTGGTGCAACAAGTACACAAAGCAAGGTTAATCACGACAACTACAAAAATAAATGTCCTTTTTGGAACGAGAATGTGTATTTCAAGGAGTTTTATTTCTAGGATATACTTATTTTTTTAGTATCAATATTGATTTGTTATGATTAAATAATATTAGTGTTATATTTCGCTATACGATTGAGAATATTTGCCTATATTTTAATGCCAAAATAAAGTATTAAATCTAAGGGATATCAAAGGATTGAATAAATGTACAATAAAATAGTATGACTTTTATCAATAAAATTGATTTGTAAGCATCTATGGAACAAGATAAATATAGTTAGAATCTGGATATGTTATAATGTTTTTGATTGAGATCATGAATCGATTGGTGTTAGACCACCTTTAGAAACCTGGAACCACTGGACGGCCGTTTCTTCCTATTATTGGACTCGTCAGCAGTGCACATCCACGGTGCCGCTCGCAGGATTCGAACCCAGGGCCTTCGGGCGAACGCGAGATTCAATGATATTTAAAATCGGTAGATATTTAAATGAACCTATTGCTTTAAGTATCGTTCTTTTGTTCGGTTTATTGTACTTTTTCTAGTTAAGTTATTCTAATATATTTCCAGGTTTTAATATGATTCTATTTATTGGTATAGTAGCATCTTTTAGATGAATCATTTTGTGTAAATGTTTATGATGAACTCTGAGATCAGAAAATAATTTAAGAAAATTAATTGTTATCTTTTTCTTGTTTCTCACTTGTAAATTACTGGAGTGATATTTTGAATGCAACATTTAATTATATGAACCGTTTGGTAAGTACACTAAAATTATTCATTCGGGGACAAACCTGCGAAAATTTAAGCTTTCTTGTAAATTAAGGCAATATCGAGGAATACGCACAGTATGCACATATGCCAATAAGAGACTGATCAATTTCAGTCCTAAAACATCAATGGGAAGATTCAAGTAAAACAATATCAAGTGAATTTCTTGTGAGTAGTTAACAACTAACCACATCATATTATAGTATTTCGTCTATCGAAAGAAAATCAATTTATTAGATTTATCAAATCTAGACATGTTCATCTGTCAAGTTTTTCTATTCTGAGTTCACATCGTAAAGTAATAATCACTCTTTTCTATATTCACTTGATTCATTATGTTGAGGTATTCATTATCAAGTAATATAGTTTTGATTTTGACACAGCTATAAATTGATACACATACTTGTAACGGTTATTTAATATTATGTATCATTTTTTAGTAGCTGACTGGTTGTTAACAATATGAATTTGATCAACTCACCATAAAGTACATTAATACAAATTCACTTTGAATATTTCATTTATAAAGATAATGAATGTCTTGACCAGTACAATATACAGTTACTACTTCATCAAAACAACTTTACAATGCTTTTATTAAAAAATACACAAATACACACAAATTTGTAATAAAACATATGAAAATCAACGTGGAGATGAGTTAATATTGGTGTGATGAACTTAACAAATAAACCAATGGGACAGATCAAAAAATATTTATAAATGGATTACAGAAATGTTTTCTCTACATGTCTAATAATCTTGTACAATTAACAGTTTGTTTTTTAAAAAAAAATCAGATGGTTCATGATTTGCATGATGATGGCACTTTTAAACAAACAAACCATTTACACTACTCCTGTTTGTACTGTGTTAAATGTGAGATAAAATGATTGTCTTCTACTTTGAATAAAATGAATAGAAAGGTAGTTATTAAAGTTTAAATAAGCTTCAGTAAATCTAAAAGAAAAAGGAATTCACAACATAGTAACAAACGGCTATAGGAAAAATAAAAAAAACGACAAGCTGTTATGCACTATATCGTAAACAAAATTGTAATAAACGTATATTAACTAAATGAAAATTTCAAGACGACTTTATAGTTTATGAAGTGCAAATTGACCTTATGGTTGATAATAAGATAAGAAGGTAAAGACAAAAATAATCCATTAGGAAAATATGTATAAATATTGTATCTGATATTTAAGGGATATACAGATAGATATATGTGTACATTTTAATAATTTCATTATTGTTTCTGATCAAATTAATGTTTCTTTATTGACTTACACTCAAATTATAGCTTGCTACTCTTCTTTTCAAATGATCGCTCTTGTATATATTAGTAATAGAATAAGGTTAAAATTCACTGGCATCGATAACAAAAAGAAGTATATAGAAGAAATGAAGCTCATATGAGGCAACATTGAAACAAATAAATGATATGAATATATATGTATATATTTGATAGCAAAATATTTATGTTAGTATTCTATTCCTTGTTTGATAGTGAGACAGATATTAGACGAATGAATTAAGATAATATTGATCAATTCTTTTTATGTAATCCGCCTTTTTAACATCAAATGAAAACGATTGATTATATTTTAGAATAAAATATTCAAAGAGAGATAGAAAAACAAAGTAGATCTGTGAAAAGAAAAAAAGATGATACAATGAAATGAACATGAAGTACAAACAAAAGGTTTGGGAATAAAACAAGAAATAAGAGCAGAATAAAAAGTAGAAATATAATAGAGAGAGGAAGATATACAGACAGGAGATTGATATATTTTGGAATGAAGTAAAATTATCAGTCCAGTTTTTTTTTTCAGAAATGCAAATTTTATGAGTAGATATATAAATATGTGTAAGTTTGATTCTATCTTGACAGTTCATACATTTTCACGTAAATTAATCTCTGGATAATCATCCATTGAAAAACTTCGTAATAGTAATAAGCCTAATATTAAACCAGCCATCTGAAAAGAAAAATAAACGAGAAAACTGTTATCAAGGTGCTTCTTATGAAAATTCCTTAAAATTTGATTATACGAAGTAAAACTCAAGAAAACTATGTGAAAATAGTATAGATATACCTTTCAGTAGTGAAACATAATGTACGAAAATTGGCAATTATTTTAAATGTAAAGTTGAGTTCAAGTTTTTCAAATATTGTACGGTAATTAACCTCATAATTTGTTAGTGTCATATCAACACAAAAGTTCTCTTTCTCGAAGTTATATTCTTTTGTTATGTGTACTCAAGTATTCTATAAAAGAATGAAGTGTTCTCTTAAGCAGAAAAACGCATTCGTGTTACCGATAATGATTATTTGATAACCAGATTTAGATATTTGTACTGTCATCTCTGACTTTTATGTTTTGTGTTATACTTATAATGGATTATTAAAAATAAAACAGTTTGCTTGAAGTTTAAAGGAATACTTTGAACGTTAAAAGCTCAATGTTTTATCCAGTAAATCAACTGTCAACAATATTTGTTTAGTAAATCAAGTATATTTACAATAATGTGATAATTGAAATAACTAATTTTTGGATTTAAATGTGTTAGCAGCTACTTTATTTGAAATAACAAACGAAAGGGAAATCTGTACAAGGAAATAAATTGCCTACTAAGAGATATAGAGAAAATAGCTAATTAAGAATTCTGAAATGTCAGACCATAATTAAGACTACTATGCATTGAATATTGAAAACAGGCAAACAAGTGTTTTGATTTCTTCTAACCACTAATCAATAATTGTATCCAACCATAAACAATTCTATTTTTAGTATCTCTACACTATTTATAAAATATTAGTAAACAGAAATTATCAGAATTATATACACATCATTGTTCTAAATAGAAAATTGAATATCCCCCTTTGAATTATTCTGTTGTTTGAAGAAAAAAAGAAAACACAACTTAAATCTTATGCTGAAACGAGATACGCTTTTCTAAATATGTGTATTCTGGAAAAATTAATGTAAAGGGTGTCAATGAAAAAAAGGAAAATCTTTTTATAAATGATGCGGTTATTTATAACAATATATTCTAATAGTCTTTTCTCCTGAAATCATTTCAAACTGATTTTGTAATAATGAAATCTGAAAATTCTAAGAAACATGTAGGTTAAACTAAAAAAATTCTAACCTTGGTTTAATTGATAAATCATGAAAAGTTTAATTAATCATTCTATTATTAAAGGTTGTCATATGAAATAAAACAGTTTTAGAGAGTATATTTTAACGAATCAGCAGAATTCATGTCATACATTGAAGTATTTTATCAGTATGAAGATTTATACATATTTAATTTGGCTGATATAGGTGCATACATGGGTTTGTAATTGAATTGTCTGCCAAATTCTGAATAGAAATATAGTTTTGACAATCAATCCAATATTTATGAAGACAAATAGCAGCAATATAAACATTAGGGAAATATATATCCCTTTTATGGCATACACACGAACAAATGCAGATAAAGACAACTAATGTAGCAGCAGTCTCTCTCCATCAGTAGGCCTCAACATACACAAGGGGATAACCAAGGTCCTCAAATACAACACGGAGAACAGCAATCCACTCACTCCTGATGGCGAAACTCTGAAAGATGTAGAATCCTTCACATACCTGGGAAGCATCATCGATCAACAAGGAGGTTCAGATGCAAACGTAAAGGCGAGGATTGGAAAAGCAAGGACAGCATTCCTACAGTTGAAGAACATATGGAACTCTAAAAAACTTTAAACCAATATCAAGGTGAGAATCTTCAATACGAACGTCAAGACAGTCAGTTCTACTGTACAGAGCTGAAACATGGAAAACTACAATAACCACCATCAAGAAGGTACAAGTATTTGTAAATAGCTGTCTACGCAAGATACTCAACACCCACTGGCCGGATACCATCAGCAACAGCCTTCTGTGGGAGAGAACAAACCAGGTTTCAGCTGAAGAAGAACTTAGGAAAAGACGATGGAAGTGAATGGAACATACATTACGCACATCGCCAAACTGCATCACGAGACAAGCCCTAACTTGGGCGGAAAAGAGGAAGGGCCGAAGAACACATTACATCGAGAAATAGAGGTATATATGAAAAGGATGAATAACAACTTGAAGGAGCTGGAAATGATTGCCCAAGACAAGGTTGGACGGATTGTGCTCGTGAGCGGCCTATGCTCCTTGATGAGGAGTAACAGGCGTAAGTAAGTAAGTAATTTTTCAGTAGTATCAATTTCGCAACAAAATAATTTAGAAACTAAACAACGAATCACTTTTTCATCCAATAAATTTTTTAATCTCAATCTAATAGTACATCGTAGAGTAAATGAACTCATACATATTTAATATTTTCATTACACTACTAAATTAACCAAGTTTTCATCTAATGACCTAGTTCTTATTTCACCTTACTTTAGTCTAATTTAACCGAAGTTTTATTTATGTGAACTAGTGAAAAAGAAAACTGTTCGTAGCTTGAATGAGAGAACAATTGTTCATTATTAGCTTTTCATAGAGTACTTATATACTTCTTGTTAATAATGAATAAAATGTAACAAAAATACTCCACTAATATAGTAGTTTCATAATTCTCAATTATTTCATTAATATTTCAATATAATTCACCTTAAATCACTTAAATAAGTCGATTTATTACTATATTTTTTTCTACATTTGTTTCATTCATATATTTCCTTCTTTTTAATTTTGGCTAGTTATTCTCTATAGAATTTTTATTCTTGTCGTTTGCATATTGTCAAGATTTTCTATTTGAATGGCAATATATATATATATATATGTATAGATATTCTGTTCCAAGAATGAAAAAAGTAAACTTCTCTGTCATATATAGTTCTAAGAAAAACTAAAGAAATGACATCAATTAATTCATTGAAATAAAGATAATAATAAAAAAAACACAACGATAATAAACTTATAACAAGCAATACAAAATGACTAGAAAAGGAAACATCACTAGTGAAAGAATAAATTAGACAATCAAAATAACTGTTCACTTGAAATGAAAAATAAACAATAGGATAAATAAAAAAGAGTGACAAGTATTATGTGCTTGTTTGAAATGTCTTATTGAATTTCAGCTAATAATAATATTTTATTCTTTGAGAATAGTGTAGCAAACAGAACACAAGTGGGAACAATCGAAGGTATTTAACACAAAATCATAGGTATTGTTAATAAAATCTATCAATCAAATAGTAAATACATAATTTGCAAAATGTCCATCAATTGTCTCATAATAACTCAGACTTCATTGTTCTTGCATTTCCATACAAATTGCATCCTGTTTCCCTTCTTTACTGTTCGATCCTCTTGTTTCTCTACTGTCAGACCCTCTGTTCACGATTAACATTATCTACTACTTATGTCAATATAAGTAGCACACATCACAGTAGTATGAAAAATGAATATTATGTCATTCAAATGAATAAATCCTTTTATATGTTATCCCTGAATAACTAAATCAAAGAAACTACTTAAGAATGGTATATTCAACAATCAACTTCTAATGTGTGTATAACTTACACTAGTTTTATAGTGTGTTCTAATTTTAATATACAAATTCATTGTAAAATATTTGACGTCAATCGATTGAAGAAAATCAACATCAATTTAATGCTAATTGGCATAAATCAATGAAATGTAATTGTATTCTTGAAGAAATTGTAGCTCCTAAGTGATTCAAATTCTTATAAGTGACGCAACCATATATGTTGACTTTAAGTCACTTGAATTGATGATTAGATTGTGAAATCGTCAACGGAATATGAACACTATTGAAGACTATACTATTCAGACATCAGCCAGTCTAAAGGTAGTGATTAATATGAAATACATTTTTGTTACTCGCATTTATTATCAGTTATAAGTGATCAAAAAGGCAATATTAAACGTCATGATATAGACTGATTATGTATTACGTAATGTCTTAACAGTCTGCTACTGTTTTTAAGGCTTTTAATATTTATCAAAAGCAAACCTGTTCACTTCTTAAATTATGTTTAACTGATACTCAGAATAAATTTTTTGAATAAAACTAGTATTTTCAAAATGAAAACGTTACTTCCTAATGCTAATATATTATTCATCTATTATTATGATACCTCATTTACAGAACGGTAATATTGGAAAATACATTACTTATACTTTTAAATATGCTTAGAATACACTGACAATCATAATGCATCTCAACCTAAAATGGTGTTGTAAGGTAAGAAATCGATATTTTCCAGCACTATATCCAGTTTATTTTATTCTTTAATGTATATCTATGATTTAGTTGTTATAAAATAGAAGAAAAATGGATCGATAAAGTTGTACATACTTTTTCCTATTATATTTATAGATTAATGATATTTCTATAAAAGTTTAACATTATAACTATTCATATTCACTTGGTGTTGTTTAAATGTATCTTCTCATTGCTATTTAGGACTGCAATTAATCAGTCTCTTATTGGCATATGTAAATCCTGTATGGACTGTCTCGATATTGCCTGAAGTCAAAAGCTTTATAAGCAAAGATGGATAGTGACTAGCAGTGGAATCCATGACGCGCCTTTCGTCCTATTCAGTTCGTTGCATGTTTCAACTCGGTATATTATCTTCTAAGTGATTTACTTTTGTTCATATTCTTCACATACTGAAATTTTATTAATCTAATTTTCGATACCATAATAAAAAGCATGTCTTTTTTTATATTACTACTGATATTATTACCGATGCTAATCTAGAAAAAACCTAGTTAGGATAAGCTTTATTGAAAATAACTGGTAATATTCTACTTCCGGAAAATTATACACTTCTAATTATTAATTATTATTAATTATTAATATACAAGCGTTCAAATTCCAAAAGAAAAGGATATAATAGTAATATGTTTAGTTCAATTGTCTGAAAATGTTAACCAATTGTAAACGTACATAAAAAAGGAAATTCAACCAAAAAGAAACCCGATGAGGTTATTACAAATTACCAAGAAAGAAACGAAATTAAAGTAGTGGATAAAAATTGATCTAGATAAACCGAAGTTTTAATAAATAAGAAACAATTCCATACACAATTAAATTGAATGATTTTGGAATTATAACTTTTGTATAATCATACAAACCGCCTTTTTTAAATTGTCGAACGATCTATTTAAAACAATATTTTATTGATGTCTTCAATCTTATATTCAGAACAATAATTAGCCTTATAGAATTTGTTTAACTAAACTTCTTATTTAACTGTAAATCTATATACATTGATATATCTTTCAGAAATAAATCCGTTTTCCTCAATATGATTTGACTATATATGTATAGTAAAATCATAGTTAGTATCTGTAGTGAGAGCACTCTGTCTTAGACATGTGAATACTTTAGCAAACATGACAGATATTATCAATGTTTTCTAGATTACTTCGTAGACCCAATATTAAATGCATATTTATATATCCTGAGGTGATAAATAATGTAATACACAAACCAGTAATTATGTATGTGCATTTCTTTTTTTAAACTATTGGAAGCTTGTTTGTCTATCTATCTTCATCAACAGGAAGTAAACAAAGTATTCTAATAAAATACAAGAACAAAAAGTAATCAACTTTACTGTTATATTTAACAAGAAATAAAGAGATCAGGTCGGCTATAATAGACACTATAAAACGTTTAAGTATTCAGTATAATTTCAAAGATTTTATGCAAACAATAGTGTTAACAAAGATTAAAACACAGCTAAACTGATTGTGCGCTAATGATTATACGAACAGGTTGAACATTTAGAAAACACACTTATTCTCAGAGTTATGCGTATTTAACATATGAAAATGCATTTTAAAGTGCTGTTTCAGTTAACACATACTTGATAAAAGACATTTTTCTGACATTAAATAGTTGAAGTAGTGTCATAGGATTACTTCAGTGGAAAAGCCTACAGTAATAACAAGTTAAATAAATTCGAACAAGTTCTTTTCGATGATTGTAAATGAAATTTTTAAAGTCTAATCATATGATTGCAATTAAGCATAGCTCATAGTGAAACGAATTTTTTTTAGCCTGACAAACTCTTCACCTGCTTTATTTGACAGACTTCATTTCACATTCAGAGCTTGATCGTGATATTTGTAACCATCTGGTAATCCATTTGTACAGTAAATATTTTCATTCAAATATTCAATGACAATCTAATATCAAAAATGTTTAGAGTTAAAAACAACATGTTCCAGATAAGGATAAACATGATTTCTATTCATATCTGGAGATTTACATGCATAAACCACGTATCACGATTCATACAAAAATTCCAGCTTGAGTAAATCAAGGAATAGGTGGATGAACAATATTCATCAATGCTATGCCTCAATGCCATATGTCATATTCAATTTTGTCATGTATAATCAAAACTTTATCATTTGATTCTTATGTATATTACACTGTGAAGTAATATTCACGTAACATTATTTCAACTCTTGCATTAAACTATTAAATAATAAACATTGTCATTAAGAAGAAGGATATCCTTCCTCACATAATGAACAGTAATGAACAACTGTCTTTTTCATAAAAATTTTCTAATATGTCAAGTATATAGTGATAATTGAAATTAAACTATGTACTATATCTTTTGTTCACATCTTCTATATTGGCTTGTTCAAGCGTGATTTGAGAAAAATGCTAGAGACAATTAGATGAAGATATGATATCACTTCATAAAATCAGTAACTGCTCATTTAAGCCATACCAAAACGTGTAGACATTCTGATTAGAATCCACAAATCAATCATATTTTGTGGCGGAAAACCTTAAAAAAACATTGCCGACAATATGAAACACTGACTCAAATTCATTCATTTATATATGTTCTTTATATTTTGAGGTTAAGCGTTATTTCATACATCTAATCTGTTCTTTTTAAAATATATATCCTTTACCTAGCCTGACCACCTTGCTTTATATTTTGTTAATTTCTTTTCTCACTGTGCTAATTTGACTTGTAACAACTTGTTCTCGTAAATATTTGTCCCAAACTCTCTAATATCTATGACGGAACAAAATAACAAACAATATTTGACAAAGATTTGTTTAATTTTAGCACTAAAAGAAATTATTTAAATCCGTGTCTACTGATAGGAAGCGAAATAATTTAAATCTGATGGGAATATTTAAGTGATTAGTAACTATTTTTATCATAGGGCCGAAATCATAATACAAAATATAGAACCGTAAAACTGTTTTGAGAAAAAATTCACAAAAACTAACAAATCATGATCCAGTGGTATGGTTGTTTGAATCTTTCCAGTGATGTTTAGTACTGCAGTTGATCAGTCTCTTTTGGCATATATGCATCCTGTACGGATTTTCTCTGTATTGTATTAAGTCACAAGCCTTATAAGCAGAAATGAATGATTAAAAAAGCTTTGAGACACATTTATATTCTCACTTACCATTAGTACGGCCAATATGACAACCATTATAATTAATGGGATGAAATACTGATACAGCAGGGCAATAATCACATTTGCACAACCCTATTAAGTAAAATCAATAAACAGATTAAATTTTTAATTACCTAGAATCTACAATTTCTATTATCTATTTTACGGATAAAAAGAATTAATGAATCCTGATATTAATTATATATAGTCATTGTCTATATATATCAAGCTAGGAAATCTAAAGTAGGTAGGTTCATTAAAACGAAAAGGTCATATTTTGCCACTCTATATGTAATCAGTGAATAACTACTGTTAACTTGGAATAGAAGTTGTTTAGTATTCTAAACACAGTGGGCATCATATTGAAACAAACTGAAAACAGAAATGGCTTATCATTAGAACATTGCTAGCTAATACACTTTAAATGAGAATGAAAAAGTCGAGACATTTAACCGCAGCCTAATAGAAATATCAAAATGTAGAAAAATTGGAGTACATTGAAAGATCCTGTAAAACTCACTGTAGAGTGAAAACAAGACTAATATAACAACATAACATATTACTGTGGAATTCTGAGGCCTCGAAAATCAAAGTTTGCTGATTCTTTTCAGTTTTCAGCCGCTTTAATACATTTTGTCCAGATCTATGCTTGAAGCTAACTAAACTCATCAATTTATCAACACAAAATTATTATTGTTTCTCGAACGATTACTTAGGGCCAATCCCTTTTAACGCTCATTCTCAGCCCCATTTTAACCTTAAATAGAAAAGCGCCGTGAGTTAGAATCAATATACATTATTCAGCTTACTTCAGTTTAGATGCATCGTATTTGATCGCATATTAATTCTAATGTGTAGTTAATTTGTAGCCCACTTACGCTTTAATGAAATTAACACCTGATAATAATGTTTAATTCCGCTCGTTATATAACATCTTTTAAGAGACAGTTTAAAGTACCTCTGTGATAACGTTACTATGATACTATCAATTTCGACTTTCCCGTTACTTTCTTCAGTTTCTAATAAATCATATCTTTGTTCCTAACACAGACTGAAGCTAATTTATGTACATAAAGTTCAAGATATTTTTTTATCTTCAACAGATTATTCAATAGACATGGGACTGCGCTTTTAGTCCGGTCTTTTTTTTACTATATCCGTTACACAATTCGTTACGATCAATTTGAATACTTAAGTAGAGTTTTTGGGCTACAAACGATAGCTTTTACAAATATTTTTTTGATTTATAGCTTCTGGATAGCGTCTGAATAGATTAGTCTACTCAGGACAGTTGAGTAAACAGAAATTGGAAATAAGTATTCTTAACTTTGTGTTAAAAAGTTTTTCTGTAATTCTGACGACAGTAGATTGGATCTGAACTATCAGTGACGTCAAGCCACTTCATCGGCTTCATTATGTCACAGTTCTCAATCAATTCTTGTGATCTAAAATTGTCATCTTCTGTACATACTTCTAAATTACACTAGAATGCAACTTAACAACTCGTGAATTATGCTTAGATTTTAACCTCTTAAGACAAATTCCAAGATATTATAACATGTCCTGATTATGACTGATTCACATGAATAGATAATTATTTCAAAACACTCAACGGTACTCGGATCTTAAACATCACTTTTCATCTTCGCTGATAGTGTCATGAAGATATGTTTTGTGTTTGGTTATGATAGAAAAAACCCAGATCAGTAGGTGATGGTTGATCGACAGCCTTTAACGAGATGCTCAGTGACACAGTCTAAACGAAACGGTATTCCAAGCCGGCACGGCTGACAACAAAACAGGGTTAGTTGGACGAACACGAACCACTTCTGCCTGATAAAATTAGCAACATATAAGTTGACTGAGGCGGAATTGTTGTATTAACGAAACGTTTTTTGAGTGTTTTGATAAGTGAATATGTTCTAGTGTGACATAATCGTTTCCATATTAGCTACCTAAACCATTATATATCGTTAAATCCCGTACAAAATGAAATGTATAGAATCTCTTAAGGAATAAGTTGTGTAATATCTCCAACTATTATTCGATAGGCCCAGTTTTCGCTCATCCATGCCTCAATAAAAAGTTCAATTCTTGGCTGTCATATAGAGGTTAATTTTCTTGAATCTGTATATCTACGAAGCAAACATGTATCCATTGTTTTACAATGTTTTATTCAATCGAATTATCTTTCTATTCAAAAATTATACAAAAGAAATTAATTTGTTAGAGTGTTTATGTTTTTTAACACACGTAGATTAACAAATGTGAACAAGACATTTGATCACTGTTAAATAATTAATTTAACAGAACAAATAAAAAATAAACTGAATTTATGCTTATGCAGTTAGCTGGTATTTCATTTCCAAATAGGTTAGGGCTTGAAACTGCATAGTTTCAACTGCACAGTGCCAAAAAAGAATCTTAAAATAAATAAATATAACGGATATTTCCAACCTTAAGCTTTAGAGTAGTAAATCTACGACTGCTATGTTGTAACAGCCAGTACAAACATGATTTTAGTTTGTGATTAAAATAATTTTAACTAAACGTAAAAATCTTTGGATGACGATCTAGAACTTGGGACAAGAAATGAATTTAACGTGAATGATCAACAGTGATTAAGGGTCATATAATTCAAATAACAAATGTTATGTGACTTAATCATGAGATAAGAAATAAAGCAGTTATTGTAGACGAGGAGAAACGGTCAATGTGATAAACATCCACCGAAATAAAAGTGTTATTAATAAAAATCAATCGTAGTGATATTAGAACTAATATAATAATGACTCAGATGAAAGAGCAGGTCATATTACAAGTAGTTTTTGTGTATAAAAAATCCTTTAGATCTAGGAGGTTACAATAATACATTTCACTATTTCACAGGCTGAAATCATGAGTCAATTGAAGCTAGACCACCATGGGAAACATGGAATCACTGGACGGCCGTCTCGTCCTAGTATGGGACTCCTCAGCAGTGCACATCCACGATCCAGAACCCCGCGGGATTCGAACCCAGGACCTACTGGCTTCGCGCGTGAACACTTAAGCATTAGACCACTGAGCCGTCACCCAACGGTGTAAATGTGAGATAACAGCTCACTGAAGACTATGGTGTACGATGGTGCAACTTCGTGGATTGGTTGAAGTTAGACATTAACACCGTCGGATGCCGGCTCAGTGGTCTAGTGGTCAAGTGCTCACGCGCGAAACCAGTAGGTCCTGGGTCCAAATCCCGCGGGGTGCGGGATTGTGGGTGCGCACTGCTGAGGGGTCTCATACTAGGACGAGACGGCCGTCCAGTGATTCCATGTTTTCCATGGTAGTCTAGCTTCAATTGGCTCATGATTTCAACCTGTGAAATTTCTAAAACCCTCCACAAAACCCATTCTGACATTTCACTATGTTAACTCTAAGCTAGTTTTTCTTTCTACAGATCTCCATAAAAACAGTCATTGAGTAGGCGTATAGACGTCTAAACTTCTCCCAATTCCATGCAATTAGTTTCTATGGTAAACTTTTTAAAAAAAGGAACAGTAAACATTTTAGGATGAAGTAAATTCACTTCATTTGTTGTACTCAAGATTTTTCACATGTGAAATGATTTCTATGGAGAAATAAAATGTTTTACAAATATTATTTCATGTGTGAGTTAACTCACTATTTTTTTGTTACAAATTTATTGGATGGATGAATAGAATAAACGGGAAAGAGAGAAAGAGAGGTCGTGACGTAATCGACTACAAAAACGTTGTCTGATTATTGCAATTTAGAGTGGAAAAAATAACTGCTAAAAGACAATGGTAAATAAAGTAATCATAATAATGGTAATCACAATAATAGTGATAATGACTGTTGAAAATGGTATAAAAAGATGCAGTCATTTGGAAGGCTATATTGGAAAGAGATAAAACAGTTCATTGGATGGTGTTAAAATATTAAGAACAGTTATAATAAAAACTGTAAATTGAAAGTAATAATACGACCTAAATGAAGATAGTTTTCCTCGTTAAACGAAGTTCTGACAAATTTATTCCTTTTAATGATAATGCCTTGTTGTGGAAGTTTATTTTAGAAATTTGTCACTAATAAACGTTTGTTCTCGACTAAATTTCGTTGAATATTTCCCACTTACCTATCAAGGTAATCTTCATTAAAAAGTTTGTTTACCATTCAGAACACCCTTCTAACAAGACCTCTTTTAAATGAGAAGGGACAAAGCTGCTGAAACGCAATTACCCTGTTTAAGAAGTCTTGTCATCAGTTGAAAGCGGAATTACTGAATTTTTCTTTTTTATAATTTTTGAGTACAAGATGTTCGTTCCATGTTTTGTAATTCGTGCTCCTAAGTGAATTTTAACTTCGAATACGAGACATTTTGTAATGCTTCAAAGTGAATAACAAACAACTAATCCCTAGTCTTCTGAAGTTTACTGAAGCTCTTGTTATCAAGCGTCAAAAACTATTTATATGTTCAAAAGAAGATTGTGACACATATTCCTTCATTGAATTGTTGAGCAATCGATTGGATGAAACTTATCTCTGTTCATCAACTTCCTTGGTTATAAGAAAGCATTTTACAGTGAAGATATGGTAATCCTACGGAATCGTCTACGGTACTATGGAATACCTGAGAATATAATCATTATCATATGGAACTCCAACGATGGACTAAATTGTGGAGGTGAACACTGGTATTGCAAGGATGGAGTTCCAAAACGGAAGAATATTTGCGACTCAAAACAACTATAATCCAACATCACAATCAGAATATTCAATATTAACGATAAAATAATTTCCATCGTAGGGAGCTCAAACTTGAATAACTGCCACTGTTAAAAAATGTAACAGGCAGAAAGAATCTATATTTTGTATATGACGTTACAAACGGTTTACACTATACACATACATAACCCTCAACCGTTTATTTATATCTTTTGGCGTGATCTGCATTCTGAGCTGTCCCCTTATCTGGTCTCTATACGACAACTATTATCAAAAAGGTATAGATCATTATAAACTTGTTTAAGCAATATATCACAGATCCATTCGTCAGAGACCATCAGCAATAATCAACCATGTTGTAGAATAAACTAGCTTCCAGATGAATAGGAAATCGGGAGGATACTATGGGAGTGGATGGTTGACACTCAATGGAAACTGTCAAATGAGACCACAAAACAAGCCCTGAATTGGAATTCTCAAGGCAAAAGAGAAAGAGGTAGACCAATAAACAAATTGTACTGGGAATCAGAAGTAGACAGCAGAAAAATCAACAGTATATGATAAAAAATAGAAAGGAAAGGCCGAGGAAGAGTTGGTCGGAGATTGCCAGTTGATGGACTATGTCCCATGAAGGGCAATAGAATTAAGTAAATAAGTTAGCGATGTGAATCAGGTCGGTTATAAGTATATTCACCTAATTTTCAGCAGAATTTAATATCTAAATAAATTAATGATGGGGATTACTGAAAACGGATATAAATAACACACTTGAAAAATTAGTGGACTTGATTTATTTATTCTATTATGTACCTGCCAGTGAAGTACTTTGCACCTAATTCATAAAACTCGAAATCACATTCATCTGTAGGTTATTCTTTTCCTACTTACTCGATAACTAATAACTACATTTAAAATGCATGGGACTTCTGAGGAGTGCGCATCGAGTGGAGCTAATCCGTGTCAGGTAAGGGCAGGTATCATACAACAGAAGATGGTCGCGCAATGTCATGGATTGGTTGGAGTGAGACATTAGCACCGTTGGATGCTAGTTCAGTGATCTGGAGGTTAAGCGTTCACACATGGGACCAAAGGTACTAGGTTCAAATCCCGCACGTGGTGTTGTGGATGAACACTTGTGAGGAGTTCCCCACTCGGACGAAACGGCCACCCAGTGTTTCCAGGTTTTCAATGTTGCTCTAACATCGATCGATTCATGATCTCAATCAAAAAATTAACTGTCTTCACAACCACATACCGATAATTTCTCTTCAAATCAGACAATTAAAAAACGTTGGTTGACTAGTTCCGTCATTATTCTATCAATGTACGTAGAACACTTCAACAAAAAGTAAATACTATTAACTTTTCAATATAAATTTATTACTATAGTCACATTATTCATCTAGTTAGTATATGAATGAACAGATGGTACTTTTACTAGCATCAAATATAACCTTTAATGCTGGAATATAAGCTCCTGTGAAAAGCGTTTGCTATCTTTAAATTTCGACTAATAATATTTTGGACTTAAATCACAGTATGGCAAGACATTTGACAGTGCTTACAGTCAAATAATGTTTTATGTACATTAGTGTTTATAGTAATTAAATATAACATCAGTATCGATAATATATGTGTATTTTTGCTGATGCATAGTGTTAGCACGGGCCAAAATTTCGAAACATGTTTTGTTAAAAATATAAATTGTCTTCTCTATATAATTATATCTATATAACAAAACACTTCAATATATTCAAGTTAAGTCCATGAGAATCGAACACAAATTGGCATTATGACTTCATATAGATAGAGACAGACACTCGACCCTCATTCTTAGTACACTTTCATAATTGAATGCCAAAATATCTTAAATCAAATATGAACAAATACGACTTATCAGTCCTATTAGTCTTTATGCATGTTCGACTAATTCAAACCACCAACTATATACTTTTGTGAACCACAATAATAATATATATTATACGTAAAGTAGAAAACATATATATTGAAAAAGTATGTAGACATGATATATATATATATATATATATATATATATATATATATATATATATATGCGAACTCTATTATTGTTGAAGGGTGAAGTTAGAAATAAAGATGGCTGTAATGAGCTCAGCAGCTGCTTCATGGGTAAACATTATTCTAATGTTTCAAGATAATTCCTTACAATATAGTAATAAACGATGATAGTTTTAAGTAGAAATTTGTAGTAAATTCGTCTTTACAGTAAACAACTTACCAAATAATCGTTAAATAGCCACTAAAATTAAAACTGAGTCAATAAAATTCTTTCGTTCTGACGATTTACTCACATTTGTACAGATATTATGCTGTCTTAACATCATAGTTTATTACTTGTTACTGATCGAATAAACGTAGTTATGACTAAAAAATCGTAGCAAGGAATACTGTTTATCGTTTTCCATGAATAAAGCATGTATTATTTGAAACATACGAATTCTTTTAAATCATCTTTCAAAGCAACTTTAAACACCCATAGATGAAAATATTTAATTTTATAGAATCTACAGTGTATCGTGGTTTTAAGCCTACAGTATCAGTGAAACTTGTTTTACCAGCGAACTCAGCTTAAATGACTTGTATTTTTCTCGTTGAAAGTAAACTCAAATAAGGAAAATAAAACATTTGTGATCATGGTTTAAAATAATCTCTTAAATTATGCTGTCAGAAACAGATTGTTAGTTGCCATATGGCGCCAACACGCAACTAACTAGATATGTCCATAATATTTACGTTAAATAGAAATTACCACCCATATTGTAAATCACATGAATTGTCTAGACAATTATTATTTAATTTATTAGTTATTTTTACACGTATATACATACATATTCTTACCATCAGTTACCTTCTTTATCTTTTGTTAATAAAAGTGAATACGAATAACTATCTATTGAACCGATAGAAGAAATAGATTCTAAGTTGTTTTCTTTTTAAAAAAAAACAATTCAATATAAATAACTAAACAGTTAAACAGAAGTCGAAATTAAATGGTCTTTTTACTAGGCGAATAAAAATCATACTTCATACAGGATTGGTTTATTTGGAAACTAACTATATTCATTCTATAGTAGAAGGTTGAAACATGTTTAGTTTTTAGTTTAATAAATTAACTTTTTTTTGGTTTGAATAGGAAAAACCTAATTATGATTGTAATTTTATATGTCTCATCAAATAATTAACTTTTTATCAATGATTTCTAGACATAAAACAACTTCTTGACAGTTAATATTAATTTATATAATGAATAAACAAAGTTAATTAACCAACAAAATTAACTTACATGAGGATTAAGATATGGATTTAAATTAGATTTTAAAGAACCAATTTGACAAGCGGTACGATTAGAAAATTCTTTAGTTTCCAATGAATGTACACAACATGACACTGGAACATTTACTACACTTGGTATTCCTAAATTATTATCATATTCTTGAGATAATAAACGTATTGAATTTGTTCCAAATACTGAAGATTGATGTATTTGACGTGAATACCAAACAGAACGAAGATACAAATCTGCTTGATTATCTTCAACAGCACAACATTTCAACTGTAATAACAAATATATAACATTCTTCTTAAAATATTTTAGATTTCGTTTAATAAAAGTAATGTATTTTACTCTATCCTGATGTTTACAGCATAAATTTGGTTTTTGACCAAAAATTATATTTTAGAAACTGCGCAATGTGTAAGTTCCATACGCCATTCTAAACAACAAATACTTACGTAACTCTTCTGAGAGTCAGTGTTCTTCAGACAAAAATGCTAATAGACCATTAATATATTAAACAAGGCAACATTTTCAAGCTAGATCTGTCAATATTACAAGACAGGATTTTTTTTACTTGTATGGTTAGTTTTCATAAAGGCTTAGTTTTTCGAAAGACGTTTGCAAATTAGGTTAAGATTACCAATCATGCATTATGTTTAAGGCTTAAAAGATATAAACTATATATCTAGTAACCGTTAAAGAAAATTGCATGATATTTTGTACAACTACCGTAAAAGTAACGTAAGGTTTATTATTATTAGTATTAAAGTGAAAATTCAAGTCCTAAAAAAGAGAACTTACAAAATGTGTAATAGAAAATTTAATCAATGAATTATGATAATAATTAAGTTTCCATTGTAAATCTAATGGACTTAAATCTATGGGTATTATTCTATTCATCTTTAACGTTTACAAACTATTCAACAATAATATCATTATGATTAACTATAAAATAAATTTAACTAAAGTAAAATTCCCTTATAAACTATAAGGATAAATAGTAAATACAACTCTATACATTATCCATTTAGAATTCTAAGATTAAGTTAAATACATTTTCAGTAAAGAATACAATTACTTTCAGAATCAGAAGAAGTATCGGTTAATCAGTCATATTTCAATTATTTATCATCTTTATCCATTCTTTATGTACGTAAATGAATAGGCGATAATTCACTTCTCTATCTTATTTTTGTTGTACTGTCATTAAGTTCAAGTCATGTTAGAAACTTCATGATTTTAACATAAATTCTATAAAAACTTCATGGTTAATAACTATAGATCAGTTAAAATTAGTTGTTTAGTTGTTAGTTCATTAATTATTAAATACAACGCAGAAGGTAATTATATCCATGTTTATGTTAGACATACTGTTTTCAAGTGAGTTGAGTAATATACTAAAAATTGCGCTTATTTATTTAGTGTATTTAAGATTTGCTGAACTCTGGGTACCTGTTTGCAATTGATAGATTTAAATTGACATGTTGATTTTAGACATTTTCGACTTACGGGTTGTAATCAACTAATTACAATCGACCAATAAAAACCAAAATAAAATTTCATTTTACACTAAATCGATGATAAATATTTGAGTTATTTTACCCCAGTTAAAACATATTTATCATCAGTACTTTACTGGTTGGACTTGAAATTTGGAACAGAAGAGGATTTTATCAATATGAAAGTTGCTCTTACATTGTATCGACCGTAATTTACAGCCTTATATTCAACATTTTAGTTTGAATAACCCGAAAACACATAGAAATTCTGGTTAATTGATTTCCTTAAAGACTGAACTTATTTTACAAATGAAGTTGGACTACTGTTGAGGATCATAGAATTAATATAATTTCCATTTGTGAATCAGTTCACTTGTTAACACACCATCAAATATTTTACGACATGGATGTATTTTACAATGACTCGAATTTAATTATATTTCATATGATGTATTACTCATACGTATGTGCATTAAAATTTAAGCTAATTTAATCATATGAGAAATTCAATTCATCAAGAAAAAGATTAAATTAAATTTTACTTATTATAACCTATTACATTTAGGCTACTTATTAAGTAGTATAATGATACTACTTCTTAAAATAGAATGGTTATCTTTGATCCTGACCCTGTTATTAATAATAAGAAATAAAGTTATAGTGGTTTCTTATTTAAACGGAAAGTCTAGTAAACTATAATGATTATACTGAACACTTTAAGTACACATATATAGTGAGTTATTTTAACAAAAATATCGTAAATAAACAACTTGAGGAGATACTTAGAAAGCGTTGTTAGGAAAAACTAAGTTACTTTATCTTCTTTCTAAATGTTTCAGGTTGAAATTGGGTGAATACAAACATTACACAATAGTAATAGTCATAGTTATATATATAGAAATATCTATAAACTAATATTTAGTAAAAATATAATTAATTGGTCCACCTAAGTTACCCTTATTTTCCCAATATGATTTAAGGAAAATTAGTTGACTTGAATAGAACATTTATTGAGTCTCAATAATAGTTGAGACAATCATTTTCTATGTAGGTTATATTATAATTGTCACTAACTTTCATATACTTGAGTTTGATTCCAAATAAAATCGACGACACTCATTAATATACAGGTTCAAATGATTTCGTACATATTATGACATATGTAGCTTCCTTTTGGAATCTTATAAAATCATTTACTAGTGTTACTGTCTAGCTGATCCGAAATGCGCTTTTTTCTCAAGACACTGCTAAATTGTACCTTAATAGGTATGTGTATATATTAATTTCCAAAATATTCGAATATGACTAAAGTAAATGGTAAATTTTATGATGTACTGATAATAATTGAAACACTACTGAAAACTTAGGAGCTCTGATGAGCACATTCCATGGTGAACATACACGAACCGAATATCAACAGTTCTTCCAGTGACTAGGGTATTTTCCTGTCGGTTGTTATAAATCTAATGGTCCTTTATTTTCAATGCAATTCAACATGTTAAGATTTGGCTTAACATAGAAATTATCTCCCAGTCGAACACATTTTTGCATAACCCTTAACTGTGTTTGAATTAATCTATATTTCACAAGGTTCAGTCGGTTTTGAATTTGAAAATGTCAAAATAATGATTAGCACTGGTTATCATATATAATAAGACCACCTTAAATGAGATATTCATCTGAGTAAAACTAATTAGGAAGATATATCTACTTCTTAACAAATCAAAACCTACTCATAGTGCTTGAGCTATTTTCAGGTGCAAAACAGTTATTTAGTTAATTTCTGTATTGTTACTACATTTCACAGGTCGATATAAAATAATCTTGAAACAAGAATTCTGGAAGTATTGATTCAGTAACCTAACTGATCATATTAAAGTTAAGAATCAAAGTTTTTACAAGCCTATTTGAATAGTGGGTATAGTTTGCTCTGTATATGTTACCTGCCTAAAATTATTTATATTTGGAAGATCAATCAGTAAAATAAAAGCAACCTTGTTATAATATAATCACATTGTAAGATTAGGATTGCGAATGACTAATAAATAACTATATGTGAATTTAGGATTGTAAAGAACGACATAGATAATCAACAAGGAAAAAATTACCCTGATTTATTACCAAGTAATATCCAAGGCTTGTTTCTATGACCACTTAAACGGACAGTTTGATAGAAATATGTTTTGTTTGCTCATCAGTGGTGCTGTTGATCAATTTATAATATGTTCACTAGTTTAAGAAATTTCACATCCAGTAGTTTGAATCTAAGTACCACATAATTCAAGGTGATTGAACCCATGAACCTAAGTTTCGTGGTACAAACTAGTGAAACATAACATTGCTCGCAATTCAGCGTAAATATCCTCATCCTATAGAAAGTCTGTTGTGGTCATAACAGATTAGAACTAACATTTGGTAAACCATTGAAGACCTCATCCTGTTGTGTTAATCATAGGCAATACATGTTCACAACCACATACACGATCGAATATGTAACGACCAAGTACTTACAAAACGTGGCACTTTTAAAACAATTCAGTGGTAAATCCTTAGACTTTGAAGCTGTGTGGAGGGGTTCAGCATCAATCAGAGAGCATCGATTCCCCCGAAATTGTACGCACGTTCTGTTGATTAATACCACTTAGCATGAAACATAGGTTTATGGTTTTCTGACAAATATATCCAACCACCTAACATCGAAGGACAATGTCTATGTACTCACACTACCGTTCACATTGCAAATCAGTATTCAAGGATTAGACAAACATGAAATTTGTCTCTGTATAGTGATCAACCAATCGTATTATACCAGTCACTTACTGAGTGTATATTACCAAACTCGTCATATTTACATGTCCTAGTCCCCAAATCAAACTTTAATATGTCAATCTCAAAGCCAGTCATTAGTAAGCACAAAACTATTATTTAGTTACCTTGTTTTGTAAAATTTCTTTGAATATGAACATAGCCTTTATCTAAAGTAAAAGTCATCCATTAAATCATATTATCACATATATATCTAAAAAACATTTTGTATAAATGCCTTGAAGTCAAATCAACCACCTTGATCATTTTCAATACTATTAAATATATCTTGTGTAATCTATCTCTTGACTAAATTTAATCTGTCGTTTTTTTGTAAATGAAGTGATCATGTTGAAAGAATTAATCTTTTCGTAATATATCCTTCAATCTCTTCGAAATATCTATACCATATTTTATACACATATACACTTGATATTCAATAATTATTTACATATTTTATAATACGATATAGTTAAAACAATTAAGTAAATATTTTTTCTGCCAAACAACAGTTAAGTTGGAACCTAATCGTTTCATTTCAATGATGAATAGAAACTACGGTCCAAGTATCATAGACATTACATACTCTAATAATGATTTCATTATCCACATGACTGAATATATGTAATTAAGGGGAATAATTTGATAAAGTGTATTGTTACATAACATTTATTGATTCATATCCTTAGTATCGTTTCACTTGTTTGGATAAATTAAGTAATTAAGAGTAGAATATTTGATTAGTTTACAGATAATTTTGGCATATATTTAAACCTATGGACTATAGGTTAGAATATTTAGTAAATTCACCTTTCATCTGATATTCCGACTGGAGTAGTAACAAAAACGACTGCACCTATTTGAACTGTTTATTTGAGTTGCATGAAAAGTGAAAATCTTGATTATAATGAATATATATTGTGCTAATTACATTTAGAGAACATGAAGTTTACTTAAGATATAGGATATCGG